ACGTGTAAACTCAAGACCATGATTGGGCGTTGCTTGCAGGTATCTCAGCACACGCTTCAAAGCTTGCCAGTGAGTCGGGCATGGGTCGGACGAGAACTGGGATAATGATCCCACTGCAGCAGCTAGATCCGGACGTGTGGCGACTATGAGATACATGATGCCTCCGACAGCACTTCGATATGGCACGTTGCACATGGTGTCTTCGTGCTTGCATTCTTGTTCACACATGTTCTTGGTTAGCTTCAGGCCGGGATCTTGAGGGCGTCTTCACTGGCTTGCTGTTATCCATTCCGAACTTGGTTAACACGGACTTGAGGAACTTGGTTTGTTGTACAGTCACCATTCCCGTCTTACGGTCGTTCTTGATCTCCATGCCGAGAAAGTAATCGAGCTCACCGAGATCCGTCATTTCGAAGCGTTTGCTCAGCGTCATCTTGGTTGACTTGAGGAGTTCGTTGTTGCTGCTGGCCAGGATGAGATCATCGACGTAGAGTACCACGAGAATCATGTCTTGGTCGTCTCGCTTGATGTAGATGCAGTGGTCCGATTCGCACTTCTTGAATCCCATCTTGATCATGAACCCATCGATTGTTTGGTTCCACATGCGAGGCGATTGCTTCAAGCCGTAGAGTGATCTCTTTAGCTTGCACACATAGTCCGGCTGTGTTGCATCCAGGTATCCGTCCGGCTGGTCCATGTAGATGTCTTCGTTGAGGGAGCCGTTAAGAAACGCTGTCTTGACGTCCATCTGATGTAGCATCAGGCCGTACTTAGCCGCCATACTGAGCACCACACGAATCGATGTGAACTTGGCCACCGGTGCGAAAGTTTCTTCATAGTCAACTCCGAATTTCTGTGAGAATCCTTTGGCCACAAGTCTTGCCTTGAAACGTTCAACTTCGCCATCTTGATTCTCCTTTACACGAAAAACCCATCGGCACCCGATGGCCTTGCGACCTTTCGGAAGAGGCACGATTTCCCACGTGTCGTTTCTCTGAAGCGAATCGAACTCCGAGTCACACGCTTCTTTCCACTTGCCGGAGTCGCTTGATTCCATCGCCGACTTGAATGTAGTCGGCGTTTCCCCCCACTGAATCAACGATGTAGGCTGCTTCAAAATCCATTGCAGCCGCTGACACATGCTCAAGCGACGGACCTCTGTATGTTCTTCGCTTGGGACTTGGAATGACGGTAGCTTTCTCAAGTGATTGAGTGCGCGTGTGTCTCTTGATGTTGCTCTTCGAAGACCTGGTGTCTTCGTTGTCATCGTCGCTCGAGTCCATGTCGTCGTCAGTTTTACCTTCTTCTTTTTCTTCGTCCTCATCATGATCATCAAACTCAACGACACTTGACTCATCGTTGTAGTTGCGCGGACCTTCATCAAACTTGTCTTCCATGAATGTGGCATCGCGACTGATCTTGATCGCTCCTGTTGACACTTCCTCAAATCGATATGACTTCTGGTGTTCGGCGTATCCCAGGAAACGACAGAGTGATGACTTGGAGTCGAACTTCGCGCGTTTGTCTTGAGGCACTTGAACATACGCGTGGCATCCAAACACTTTAAGGTTGGCCAGAATCGGTTTCTTCATCGTCCACACTTGATATGGAGACTTGTCTTGGTGAATGGCACGTGTTGGACAGCGGTTTCGAAGAAACATCGCCGTCATCACTGCTTCACCCCAGTAGCTCTTTCCCAGTCCAGCGTGTTCCATCATGCAACGCGCACACTCGACCAGCGTGCGATTCATTCTCTCAGCTACTCCGTTTGGCTGAGGAGTATATGGGGGTGTGAACCTTTGTTGTATTCCCCGTTCCGCGCAGAATCGTGCCAGCTTGTCGGACTTGTATTCACCCCCATTGTCGCTTTGAAGGTACTTCACGCGCTTTCCGGTTTGCGTTTCGGCCATCGCAGCGTATTCCATGAACTTCGCGCAACTTCAGATTTGCTCTTGAGCAGATAGACGACACAGTATCTTGACTTGTCATCAATGAATGTCACGAAGTACCGTTTTCCACTGAAAGTTGCCATCGACATCGGTCCGCATACGTCGCTGTGAATCACTTCGAGGAGTTTGGAGGTGCGAGCTGTAGTGTTTGATTGGAAGCGCACTCGAGTCTGTTTTCCCAGAGCACAACCTTCACACACGTCCCACTTCTTCACCGAAGATATGTCGATGCCAATTCCAATGTTCTTCGTCACGATGCAATTGAGTCCATCGTGACCTATGTGGCCAAGCCGAAGGTGCCAGAGGTACGACTTGGTGCCCCCTTGACATCCCGACGACTTGGCTGCATTTGCTTGTTCCGGCGCCACTGGAGTCATTTGCAGCTTGAACAGTCCTTTACCTTCACGGGCACCAATTTTCCACTTGGTCCCTTTCGCTTCTCCATAGCACCCATCCTTCGTGAACGTCACTGGGCCGACATCCTTGGTGAAGCGGCCGACCGAGAACAGGTTTCTGGATAACTTTGGGATGTGCCACACGTTTGTGAGCACACCTTTCTTCATCCCTTGGGGTGTCTTCATCGACATGACAATGTCCCCACTGCCGATTGCTTGGACGATTCCATCATCCGCGAGATGGACATCCACAGCGTCAAACCCCTTGTAGTTCCGCATGAACTTCTTGGAGCACGTCATGTGCTGCGTCGCCCCGGAGTCGACCAGCCAGATGTCGCTCGATTTCGCAGATGTCGTTTCACCGATCGAAAGAGGTAGTCGCCCGAGTCTTCTTCTTGAGCGACGTTTGCACGTTGTGATCGATAGCGGTCGCCGCTGTCTTGAGCACGCTGTGGCCGGTGTCTCTCCGTGTTTTCTTGGATGCGCGAGGGGCACTCCGCCATCCAGTGACCAATCTTTCCGCAATTGTGGCACGGCCAGGACTTCTTTACTGGTCGCCCTTTGCGCTGATTGTCCCTTGTGATGAACGCTTGACCTTGCGAAGCTTCATCACCTTTACTTCCCCTTGCTCCTTCCGCTTCATTTCTTCATGAAGCAGTCGAGACGTCACGAGCTCCCAGCTAAGAGTGTCTGAGCGCGACTCCAAAGCTGTGATCAAGAATTGATACGAGTCACTCAGGCTGCCGAGGAGTGTGATCACCAGATCGTCCTCGCAGACTGGAGCCCCCACCGCTTCTAGCTGTTCCGCCAGCGTCTTGAGCTTGTTGATGTGTTCGAGCACATCGTCGCCTTCTTCCATCATTGTCGTGAAGAAGCGACGGCGCAAGAACAGCTTGTTGGCAAGACTCTTCTTCTCGAAGTGGTCTTCCAACCTTGACCATGCGTCGCATGCACCACTTGCCGACCGGACCAACGGTAGCTGGGAATCTTCCATGGCTAGACAGATCACTGCCATCGCCTTTCTTGACTTCCTCTTGTACGTCGCTTGGTCCAACTGAGTCTCGCACTGTTCCGCCTTGATCTCACCGCTGACGACCTCCCATAGGTCCCGTTCCTCCAGCACTATCTGCATCTTGAACTTCCAGGCGTGGAAGTTAGTTCCATCGAACTTGGAGATGCGGAGGGAGGAGGCGTCCATGGCAGCTAAGCTTGAATTGTTGGCGGTTTCAGAGTCTGACGAACTTGGGCTCATAACCTGATGAACTTTAGACTTCTTGGTCCGAGTGCAAAACGCAAAGTGAATATATATTTATAATAGGTACTTAGTTCGCAACTTTGAATACTACCTCTAAGCCTATTATTCGCAGTGACGTCATCCAGTGACGTCACCCACTGACGTCACCCACTGACGTCATGCAATGACGTCATCCAGTGACGTCATTTCCTGACTTCGCCCTTACTGGTACATACCGGTACCCACCGGTATAGCGAGGCTTGGTCTTCCACTTGCTTCAACACTTGACGCAGCTTGACGAGGTGTCTTCTTTACAGCCGCTGTCTTTTCAACACCTTCGACTGCATTGGCACTCGCTCGCCAAAAGACTTGAGATGTAGCATCCTCGTTATCTTCGTCACTGCCCTTTTGCTCTTCGTCCAGATTGTCTCGAGCGCTTGATCGTCGCTTCGCTTGGTGCGATTCAGAGTCATCCGGGGCACTTGCTTCTTCTAACCCGGTTCCACGACGCTCAAGAAGTGTCCGTTGTAGAACTTGTTCTTGACTGTTTGAACGGCTTTTGCGTTTTCCAGTTTGTTTGAACTGCATAGGGTGAGGCTCATCGCTGATGTTCATCGATTCGATATCCAGCGCAGTGTCATCAATGTGGTGAAGTCGATCTCACAAAATTGCTTGTATGAGTGTCGATCTTCCACTTGCCCAGACTTGCCGACTCACGGAGGGGGTACTCCGATCCGTGCCTTGTTGTATGACCTTGTGCTCACCTTGTGTACCCGTCGGTTGGGCTGGCTTGAGCTCTTCGTAACGGCCTTGGGAGATGTCGATCTCGCTGAGAGGTTGGGTTGAGGGTTCGCTTCCGGTGCGGAAATCTTCACACCACGAACGGGGGTTCTGCGATCCCGATCTTGGATCGCACCGATCTTGATTTGTCTTCGAGATCGGGGTCTTTGCTGTGCGGAAATCTTCACTCAGCAAATAAAAGTCCTGCGTCGATCTTGCCTTGGGATCGGTCCGATCTGGTCTTGGGATTGGCCGATCTTGCCGGAAGTGCGCAATTTGGGTAGATCGGTGTCTTGTTTTGCCAAAATGAAACGTGCCGATCTGTCCAGGGGATCGCTTCGATCCTGCTCGGTCTTGTCTTGAACGCCTTGTCCAGATCTTCTGACCCCTTGAGCCGTCTCGCGATCTTGTGTCCAAAATCCTTTTCCTTTTCCGTTGTGTGCTGCTATCCTAGCAGTTGAGTTGAGTGTGAGTACTTGATCGATCTGGGCCAGATATCCCGGGATCGCTCTTCTCGATCTTGGCCAACAATCCAAGGTCGGTCTTCTGTGTCCCTGTAACACGCGTGCCTTAACCCGCCGGGGAAGCCAAATCAATCTTGCCTGGAGAAGAGGGGAGGATTACGTGCGTCGTGAGCAGAAGAAGTAGAGTTCAAGTCTGTTTATTAACCAACCATATTACTATCCAACCTACCCTTAAGCCTATCCTTAACTATAGGTCACTCTTCAAACCGATATCGCCTTGAATCTGGATCGCCCCCTTGCCACGTGTCGAAATTTCGTGCCCTGTACTCCAATGATAGCGCCAATATTCCCGATACCGTACCTGAACGCCAAAAGAGGACCAAATCCTAAATGGGGTACCAAATACCCATTTTTGGTACCCAAAAGTCCAAAATAGTGCCCAAATGCCGAAGGCGTCTAAATCCATTTTGCGACGTCAATTTAACCGGCTTCCACTGGCTCTTTCGATCTGAACTTTTGAGACATCACTCATGGACCTTCAACAAGCATGTTTGTCATGATCCAAAATTCTCATCAACGATACATCCATAATCAGTGGGGATCATGACCGATCTGATGCCCAATTCGAGATTGTTGAGGATTGACACAGTACAATCCGGCCATATATGTTCTTCCGTTCATTGTGTACACTCCGATGCTTTATCAAAATGATTCTGCTTCAACATCCACATCCTTGCCTCTGATCAGCCTTCAGAGTGGTCGTTCGGTTCAATCCAGTCCCTCATCCCAGATCGCACCGTGGAAATCACCCCTTTCTACGCCCCGTCTCAAATCACGTTGCATCGCCTGGTCTTAGGCGTACCTCTTCCGCCAGTGGGTGACATCTTAGCTGGGTGGACACCGATCCACGTCCCATCATTTGATTAGTGACTTTACCACAGTTACACCTTCGTCGCAGAGTCATATCCCATCACCCGGTCCCAGATCCTTGTCCCAGATTGTTCCATGTAAATCGTTCCAGATCGCTCCGTCCCAGGTCGATCCATACCCATTAGTATAACGACAGTTGGACCGGTTCGACGATCCTGTTAAGATCATCTTCCACCTCCGTATTGGATCGCCGAGTCTCATGGCCTCCTTTTCCACCAGTAAGCAGCGCTTTAAAGGTGTGGTCACCGATCCTCGTACAAAATTTGAGTAGTGACTTGCCACAACCGCCCCCTGTACTGAAGTCTTTTGTACAGCAATTGACCTCAGTAGAGTTACTCATTAACTTCGTTCCAAGCACTCAAGTCTGTGGTGAATTCGATCTCACAAAATTGCTTGTATGAGTGTCGATCTTCCACTTGTCCAGACTTGCCGACTCACGGAGGGGGTACTCCGATCCGTGCCTTGTTGTATGACCTTGTGCTCACCTTGTGTACCCGTCGGTTGGGCTGGCTTGAGCTCTTCGTAACGGCCTTGGGAGATGTCGATCTCGCTGAGAGGTTGGGTTGAGGGTTCGCTTCCGGTGCGGAAATCTTCACACCACGAACGGGGGTTCTGCGATCCCGATCTTGGATCGCACCGATCTTGATTTGTCTTCGAGATCGGGATCTTTGCTGTGCGGAAATCTTCACTCAGCAAATAAAAGTCCTGCGTCGATCTTGCCTTGGGATCGGTCCGATCTGGTCTTGGGATTGGCCGATCTTGCCGGAAGTGCGCAATTTGGGTAGATCGGTGTCTTGTTTCGCCAAAATGAAACGTGCCGATCTGTCCAGATGATCGCTTCGATCCTGCTCGGTCTTGTCTTGAACGCCTTGTCCAGATCTTCTGACCCCTTGAGCCGTCTCGCGATCCTGTGCCCAAAATCCTTTTCCTTTTCCGTTGTGTGCTGCTACCCTAGCAGTTGAGTTGAGTGTGAGTACTTGATCGATCCGGGCCAGATATCCCGGGATCGCTCTTCTCGATCTTGGCCAACAATCCAAGGTCGGTCTTCTGTGTCCCTGTAACACGCGTGCCTTAACCCGCCGGGGAAGCCAAATCAATCTTGCCTGGAGAAGAGGGGAGGATTACGTGCGTCGTGAGCAGAAGAAGTAGAGTTCAAGTCTGTTTATTAACCAACCATATTACTATCCAACCTACCCTTAAGCCTATCCTTAACTATAGGTCACTCTTCAAACCGATATCGCCTTGAATCTGGATCGCCCCCTTGCCACGTGTCGAAATTTCGTGCCCTGTACTCCAATGATAGCGCCAATATTCCCGATACCGTACCTGAACGCCAAAAGAGGACCAAATCCTAAATGGGGTACCAAATACCCATTTTTGGTACCCAAAAGCCCAAAATAGTGCCCAAATGCCGAAGGCGTCTAAATCCATTTTGCGACGTCAATTTAACCGGCTTCCACTGGCTTTTTCGATCTGAACTTTTGAGACATCACTCATGGACCTTCAACAAGCATGTTTGTCATGATCCAAAATTCTCATCAACGATACATCCATAATCAGTGGGGATCATGACCGATCTGATGCCCAATTCGAGATTGTTGAGGATTGACACAGTACAATCCGGCCATATATGTTCTTCCGTTCATTGTGTCACTCCGATGCTTTATCAAAATGATTCTGCTTCAACATCCACATCCTTGCCTCTGATCAGCCTACAGAGTGGTCGTTCGGTTCAATCCAGTCCCTCATCCCAGATCGCACCGTGGAAATCACTGTGGCAAAGTCACTACTCAAATTTTGTACGAGGATCGGTGGCCACATCTTTAAAGCGCCGCTTACTGGTGGAAAAGGAGGCCATAAGACTCGGCGATCCAATACGGAGGTGGAAGATGATCTTAACAGGATCGGCGAACCGATCCAACTGTCGTTAGACTAATGGGTATGGATCGACCTGGGACGGAGCGATCTGGAACGATTTACATGGAACAATCTGGGACAAGGATCTGGGACCGGGTGATGGGATATGACTCTGCGACGAAGGTGTAACATCTTGCAGAATGTTATGGGGCGATCTGGAACCAGACATCGGGATGAAGTCATACAGCTCATTGGAATGCCGGTCAAGAAGAAGTATACGTACATTGAAGCAGGCTAAGATTAGATCGCAGATCGACATGTTGTGGCAACGGTTTGTTGGAGAATTGACACATCTGGGACAAGGTGACTCCCGAAAGTGCATCTGGGACCAGGTGGTACGGGTCGGTGAATCGGCAAAGAAGGTGCAACACCATACGGATCGGTGATACTCTTTACCGATCCTAAATTGGGAGTACTGATTTTGGTTAATTATACACCGATCTGGAAGTTTTTGCATGCTCAGAAGAGTCAAGGAAACCGATGTCGAGACGTATGAATGAAGTTGTCGATTGGATAACACTGGAGGATGATATTGAAGCACGTATGAGGAGATGAAAAAGTGTTAATTGCCGATTTAGACCGGATCAACCTCCAACATCTCGATATTGGATGACAGATCGGTCATTTTCCACACTGAACATGAATATATGGTTGATGAAGACAATGGATCATGTGGAATATACTTGGTAGAGGTCACTAAGTGATGTCAAGAAGTTTCACGCCGAAAGAGCCAGTGGAAGCCGTCCGAATTGACGTCGCAAAATGGATTTAGACGCCTTCGGCATTTGGGCACTATTTTGGGACTTTTGGGTACCAAAAATGGGTATTTGGTACCCCATTTGGGATTTGGTCCTCTTTTGGCGTTCAGGTACGGTATCGGGAATATTGGCGCTATCATTGGAGTACAGGGCACGAAATTTCGACACGTGGCAAGGGGGCGATCCAGATTCAAGGCGATATCGGTTTGAAGAGTGACCTATAGTTAAGAATAGGCTTAAGGGTAGGTTGGATAGTAATATGGTTGGTTAATAAACAGACTTGAACTCTACTTCTTCTGCTCACGACGCACGTTATCCTCCCCTCTTCTCCAGGCAAGATTGATTCGGCTTCCCCGGCGGGTTAAGGCACGCGTGTTACAGGGACACAGAAGACCGATCTTGGATTGTTGGCCAAGATCGAGAAGAGCGATCCCGGGATATCTGGCCCGGATCGATCAAGTACTCACACTCAACTCAACTGCTAGGGTAGCAGCACACAACGGAAAAGGAAAAGGATTTTGGACACAGGATCGCGAGACGGCTCAAGGGGTCAGAAGATCTGGACAAGGCGTTCAAGACAAGACCGAGCAGGATCGAAGCGATCCCCTGGACAGATCGGCACGTTTCATTTTGGCGAAACAAGACACCGATCTACCCAAATTGCGCACTTCCGGCAAGATCGGCCGATCCCAAGACCAGATCGGACCGATCCCAAGGCAAGATCGACGCAGGACTTTTATTTGCTGAGTGAAGATTTCCGCACAGC